ATTCCATTTAGATCATGCTTAAATGTTTCAATATATTTAGCCCATTCTTTACCTAGTAAATCCCATTTCGCATATTTTGTATTATATTTAATAGTAGTTTTATAGTTGATATATTCAGGGTAGTCATTGATTTTAAATTCAATATATTTATGATCAGAATGCGATTCATATTCTCCTATTTTCCAATTATTAACATAATTAGCTGAGTGTATATTAATAGCTGTTAAATCAATAAAACTCTGTCCACCTCTGGTCTCAAATGTTGGGATATTATTATTATTATTTAATAAGATTAAATCATTGGCTGCCAAACAATCTAGCATCTTTTTACCCCTCTGATCATCATTCCTGTCAAACCATACTCTTGAGTGAGCGTTGGAGTCAATACACAGTATATTGTAATTTGAAACTATGTTATGTATAGCTTTTGTTATGGCGTTTAACTCCGAGTCAAATATCATAATATCGGCATTCGGTGAACAGTAAGCACTCATTAATAACACTATTTTGCCATTGAATTCGCATTTAACTACAGTTAGTGTTTGTGTTGAATATGTTTGAATGAATAATGAATTAATAGATTTATTAGTTATTAAAATTGCAGATTTTGGATGAATACTAGTTTTGTCATAAAATAATGAATATTTTAAGGGAAATCCACAAATTTTTCCCTTAAGTACGTACGGCTCTTGTATGAAAATGATGTCTATTTTGTGTTCAATAATGTGTTGACAAAGATGTGCAGTCGATGTACGGCTTCTCATTAAATTAATTTGTAAGCATTTAATATTATTATTTATTGCATTATCCATAGTCGGTACGTGAAATGGCATTACTTCTCGCTCTTATGAACATTTTGCAGGCATTATCGACGACTGTGTGGTTTGTCTTAAGCTTATTATTATCTCCGGTGATTTTCTCATTAAAACGCTTACAATTAACACAACATTTCGTGTTTAGTGTGCAATCTTTGCAGCGCACTACAAGTGATGTAAATGGTGTTCTTTACACGCTTAGAAACGTTAGAAACCGCTACACTGGTTTTGCTACCGTTAATATTGTTGCCCAATTCGCATATATCAGCCGGGTTGCATCCCTAAGCCAGCCAATACATAGTCGGTTTCTATTGCTCACTATTTTGTATAATTGGGGATTTATTTCCAGAACCCAAGTTTTGATGTTTATATTTTCATCTCTATTCTTAATGTCGAATTTTACGCTAATATTATCCAGTACATTTTCATTATTCGATTCCAAATATTCTTTTACATCTCGATTTCTTGTTATTATCTCATCGATGAGATTAGCACCGCTGATATCGTTGGACACACCGTATAGTGCAATACGTGGCCAGCGTTTCTTCGGTTCTTCAGCCTTTAGATCTACTGTATTATTGATGGCATGAATTATCTCTTGTCGGTCATCCGGTGTATCGCAACTCAGAATAACACCGCCTTTAGAACCAAATCTGGCGCTATTTACATAAACTGCAGTATTATTGGAGTCAATAATAGTCTTCACTTTTAGCATATTATCTTTCGATGACGTGCTCTCATCGATGGGTCGGATGACAACTATGTTGTCATTTCTCTCTTTATTGCGCAATACTTTTACGCCCTTTGGGTCCACTTTTACGGCATTTGCGTGACTGGTATGGTATTGTATGGTATGGTATGATCATTGGTGTGAACGCTATGGCATTGATATAGCATTAGAAAAGTGGTTTAGAGTGCAACAGAATAACCTGATATTGAATACATTGCAACGAACGCATGAAAAGGGCATAAAACGAAAGGATTAAACGATGGGTTGAGTAGTGGTGTTGAGCAGCGAACAGATGATCCCTTTTACGAGTACATAGCGATGGCATTCGCACTCATGTAGTGTAATGTCTGTGCATTTGTGTTGATGTGACTGTGAATGCGTTTGATATGCCTTTCAGTGTTGCATGAGTTGTGGTCTAATGTCTAATGTATTGATGTTTTGATGCAAACAATTAACACTTAATTGTATTCATCGTTCAGATAATTGTCGACAAAATGCCAAATAAACCCAAAAAGGATAAAGTGAGTCATTTGTGGCCATTTGGCACCACATATGTGTCTCAATCTGCACCTAAATATCACTGAATTGATCCCAAAATTGTCTTTTCATTGAAAACTATTATATTTAGGAAACATTTGTTTGAATATTTGATTAATTGATTAATTGGTTGTGTTTTGTATTTGTGTTCAGATTTCTGTTAAAAACAATTCAAACAACAATAGAGACCAAAACCAGAAGGAGACCAATGATACCACAGATGAGGTATGCATTCAATGATTACTGCAATCAATCCAATTGACTATCAATTCATGACATCTTTGGCCACCAATATGGCGGACCACTCATGACTAGGTCTCGCATTTGTGTCATATGTTTAGTTAACCACTAACTGTTTGCATGATATGTTGAGTTCGTGTTGAGACCTAACCATTGAATGAATTGATAGTTGAAGAGTTGGGTGAGAGGTATGTTTGCATCTAATCTAATGAATGGTATGATAGGTGGAGAAGAGGAATAATAACAACAGTTATGTGAACGAGACTATGAAAGTGTGTCCAAACAGTCTCATGAATACCAACCAAACGAACCAAAAGCCCAAGTTTTCGGGCGTTTCGCCGACTCTGAAGACTTCTCGCCGGCAGTCGTCGTCGCGATTCAATATCAGCCAAAATCGTGAAATTCAAAAACTGCCCGCTCTTAAGGACGCCACCCCTTCTGAACGCGAAGAACTGTTTATCCAAAAACTAAACCAATGCTGTGTTTTGTTTGACTTCGCCACGGATCCGTTAAGTGATCTCAAATGGAAAGAAGTGAAAAGGGCTGCTCTTCACGAACTCGTCGAGTATATCATGACTCAGAGGAATGTGATCACCGAAAATATATACCCAGAAGTGGTTAATATGGTATTGAATTGATTTTATTACTATTTCGTTAATAGTTTTGCTCATCAATTATATTAAGTTTATTGATTTTAATGATTTGTTTGCATTTAGTTTTCCATTTGTTGCATTAAATTTCAAAATCAAGTTTATTTTGTTTATAGCAGTGATTGCAAAGTATTTGTGTGTTTATTAATAGTTATGCTTTATATTCAAAGTTAAGTTTCTATTTAAAGCCCGCGACTCGCATGCAAATGTCACTTAAATTAAACTCGAGTTTTATTCACAAAAATCTTAACTCTTCTCACGTTTTAATAACAGAGAAATGCATTATTTTTGTCGTTTTTTTGATTACGTTTGCATTTTGTTTGTAATGCTATTCCTATTCGTTATATTCACGGCTTCTTCAGTCAATTCAGAGGCAAACAAATCGTATAAACTATTGAATCAATTAATGGCAATAAATGTGAGACATGACTACATTTCATTGAGATATCAAATAAAGGTAATCATACTTCTGGCAAATATAGAAAACTTATATATATAATGATTTTTGTGATTAATTTGATTATCAGTTGATGTCTATGATTGAAAGTACGGCTAATAATAGTGTGGGCTTTTCGTGTTGGAAGTTATTTACCATTAATTGCTATAAGTGCTATGAAGTATGTATTAAAGATATTATGTTGTTATAATAAAATTATGTATTTGTCTGTCATCACAGATTTTGTCAGTATTATCTCTACTTTTCCTACAATTGATTGACATAACTACATATTAGCATTTTTTAAAAAGCAATATTAAAGCCGATTTGAAGTGTATTTTTTTTAATTGTCGCTGTATTTTATGAACATAATTAAATCGAATAACAAATGTAAATGTTTGCAAATCAAAAGGTTTATTAATTAATTTTCAATATAACGTTTAACTTAATTTATGAATCTTACTTCATTTATATAATTAATTTAGTTGAAAATAATCGTCAAAATATTATACTAGCTTTTAATGGAATTTCATATAAATACTAATAATTAATTAAAAGTTATATTGCAAATTGAATTAAATACTTAGAATGAAGTAAATATATTAATTAAAAGTTGAAAATAATCGTCAAAATATTATACTAGCTTTTAATGGAATTTCATATAAATACCTAAATGCATTTATTTAATATATATTGCCTAAACTAAAACATAAGATACTAAATATTGTATATAAATAGAAATAAAATAATTATATTAGATTATATTTCAATAAATTTAATAATTATATCAAATAAACTAATTGTATAATAATAAAATGATAATTAATTATAAGTATATTATAATAAAATATTAAATACCAGTAATAGAATTTCTATTATAGAAATAATAATACAATTATAAAACAATGTGTTATCTGCACTTATTCTTATTATTAACACCAATGAAACTATTTTTTAATATTAATATTAAATATTATACAATACTGAAAAAATCCGATCTTTGTACCGCCTGTGACTGAGACGGTCAACACTATCAAAGCACCGACTGCGGTTTTTTATGTTTTTACGATAAAAACTGCTCAAACGTTTCAAATCATTCTGGAGCTGTGTTGAACAGTTGAGTGTTAGAGAGAATGTGGAGGGATTACTGACCGTAATTATGCTCCAAAACCGCATAATTAACGAGAATGAGTGCCGGAATTGCGATAACAACACTAGTTTAGTAAGACCTCGACACAACTTGTCAACTGTGTTAGAGAGAATGTGGAGGGATTACTGACCGTAATTATGCTCCAAAACCGCATAATTAACGAGAATGAGTGCCGGAATTGCGATAACAACACTCTTTTGGATCCCATTAATGATCGCTTAAGGGCTATAGAGAGAGATACGGCGCGTATTATACGAAAAGTGGACACAATTAACGCCGAAATAGTGAGTAAATCGGAACCAAAAACGTACGCAAATGCCGTAAAAGTGGACCCAAAGGGCGTAAAAGTATTGCGCAATAAAGAGAGAAATGACAACATAGTTGTCATCCGACCCATCGATGAGAGCACGTCATCGAAAGATAATATGCTAAAAGT